CACCGTCACCGGGACACCCGGGGCGGGGGGCCCAGCCGGTCAGCAGCCCCAGGGCATGGCCACCCACCGACACCATGGGCATGAGTGCAAACAGGGTGGCCGGATGCTGCCCAGCTCCACGACACTCGGTTGGTGGGATGGGGCACGAGGCCATGCCGAGGCTCACCTTTCCCAGGGAAGTCTTGCTCCTGCCCTTGCCTGTGCCCTTCTGGAAGGCAGGGCCGGGGAGGCAGCTGACGATGGCGTGTATGCCACGGGGGCAGGCATGCTGGTGGGGGGCTGGCGGGGCAACTTGCGTGGGGCAGAGGGCCAGGTGAGGCTCTGTGCCCTGGCACCGCACCCTGTGGACCCAGAAGCTGTTCTTCTGGCTGAGGGTCTTCAGGCTGCCGAGGGAGAGGAGCAGGTGTTGATGTCAGCTTGGCCACTGGAGACTCTCCCCCCACCCAACACCTATGCTGGGTGCCCACCCAGAGTGCCCCTGCTGAAGGCTGAGCCCTACCTGGATTTGGGGTCCTTCAACTTCATGTTCCAGAGTTTCCTGTGGGTGCAAAGAGCCGGGAGGTCGAGGGGGTCATGCCAACACTGCAGGGCTCCAGACCTCCCAACCCATCATCCCTTCCCTTCCCAACACCCCGTGGCAGGAGCTGGAGCCGTGGGGTCCTCCCACAGCATGTCAGGGTGAGGACAGGTCCTCTCCCCACTGGCAATTACTGTGCCAAGCCTGGCTGTGTCGTGTGCCCCCGCAGGACTGCGCGACTCCTGGCATCGGCAGGGCCTCATTACAGGCTGTATTTATAGCCCCAGCCCGAGGCGGGGTGGAGGGGCTGAGGGCCACTTGTCTCTCCTCTCCTTCCACCTATGCTTTGCCAGTGCAGCTGGTAACTGTCCCCACAGGCCCCGGGCTGCTGCCGAGCCCAGCTCTGCCCCTTATCGAGACCCCAAGAAGATGGCCCAGGCATGGCCAGGCCATACCATACCAGCACCCTGTGCATCCACCCACGTGTGCATCCCTTCCCCAACACCCCCGGGTCTCTCGTCCCCGCGTGTCCTGCCAGGCACGCTGTCCCACATGCCCCACAGCTGCAACACGTCTCCCGCATCCGTACCGGTAGAAGCTGGTGTTGACATGCTTCTCCCGGGGGAAACCCAGCATCCCGCAGACCACACGGCTGTTGTTCCTGGTCCAGCTGGCATCACAGACCTGCCTCCAGCGCCCGTTGTGCTTCACCTCCACGGCACCCTCCGTCACCGGCATGCTCAGCTTGGCCCATGCCAGGATGGGCTTGAGCCGCACGTCCTCCAGGCTCAGCCCTGGCACCTGCCATGGTGGGTACAGGGGTGGGCATGGGGCCCCCAGCATTGAGTACAGGGTGTGCAGGATGGGGACAGGGGAAAGGTCAAAGCGACCCCCTCGTCCATCCTGCTGGACACTCACCTCTCCCAGGTGAGCGGAGGTGGTGTCCTGGTGACGGGTGCTGGGCAGACGCTGTTCCCAGCACACCACACCGGCGTCCCGGCCATGCCGGGCGCCCCCAGCCGTTGTGGACCCACTCTGCCAGGGAGCCCTCACTGCCCCCACACCGCACGTTGTCCAACCAAATGGGGCCTGGTGGGGACACACGCAGGGCTGGGGATCACCACTGGGGGGTCCCCATCTCCCTCCCCAGCACCATGGGCCCTGTCCAGTGCCCCCCGT